ACATCCGTTACTGATTGACTACTTACCAAGACCAAGCATTGAAGAACCTGAAGTAGAAGAAGTATGTTGCGCTGAACTAGGCCCTTCATGGATGGATCCCATCATAACATTCTTAAAAGATAGCGTCCTACAAGAAGAGAAGAAAGAGGCCAACAAAATAAGAGCAAAGTTGCAGCGATTTTGGCTCTCCCTATCAATGGCCTTGTATAAGAAATCCTTCGCAAGACCTTATCTAAAGTGTGTCCATCCTAGCAAAGTTGAAGCGTTCTTGTTCGAAATACACGAAGGCGTATGCGGAAGCCACCAAGGAGGAAGATCATTAGCTTACAGAGCCATTTCGCAAGGATATTGGTGGCCATACATGCAAGCAGATTCAGAAAAGTATGTCAAGAAGTGCGAGAAATGTCAGAAGTTCACACACCAAATACATCAGCCAGCCAGAGAGCTCCTACCATTAACAAGCCCATGGCCCTTTGCAATGTGGGGCTTGGACATAGTAGGACCACTTCCAATGGCACCCGGCAATAGAAAGTTCTTTCTTACAGCAACAGACTACTTCACAAAGTGGGTGGAAGCAGAAGCACTAGCATCAATAAAAGAGAAAGATGTAAAGAAGTTCGTTGGCATACCGAAAGCTCTGATATCTGATAACGGCACTCAGTTCGACGGCAAAGTTTTCAGAGGCTTTTGTGAAGAGTACAAGATAGAGTTCTACAATTCTGCACCAGCATACCCCCAAGCGAATGGCCAGGTGGAAGCATGAAACAAAGTCGTTTTGGATGGACTAAAGAAAAGGTTAGAGAAAGCAAAAGGCAAATGGGCGGAGGATCGAGGACTACACTCTCTAGGCAAGTGGCACGAGGATCGAGGACTACACTCCCTAGAGCTTATGCAATGACGGGGAGAGTGGTCGGGCACACATTTGTTGAAAATACTTTGCCTTCTCTCTCTCTTGTCTTTGTTGCAGAAAATGCAGAAACCAGGAGAAGAAACTAGCCGGCCGACCAGGTTTTCTGGCAAGCCGACCACCTTTTCTAGTTTTCACCACCAAGGGTGGTCGGTAGGTGGTCTCCAATGCCTATAGCTGGTCGGTAACCTTCCCCTAGATTCCCAGGGTGGAGTTTCATCTCCTTGGAGCTTTGTGCAAGTTTCTGAGTTCAATTGCAAACAAAGGCGAGTTGAGACATCGCAATGGATTTCCCGACAAGGCAACTCGAGCATGCATGCATCCTTATCATTCGGAACAGAGCTGAGGCAGTCCATTTCATGTAGCTTGCATGCTAATTTATTTGCTTCCTTAGTTTAATTTGTTAATTAATTAATGTTGTGTAATATTTAGCTGTAATTCATTATTCATTTCGGTTGTGTAATAACTAGTTTAATTAGCTTAGATTAGATAGTTGGTTCTGTATTATTTATTCGGACCCTCCACGAGAGGGCGAACTTTATAATAAGTGTGTGTGTGTGTGATGCATGTCTTCCAACCCCACGTCTTTCTCCCTTTTATTTACCAGCTTATGATGGTTAGTTTTAGGGTATGTTTCAATTAGCATCTATATGTTCGCATGTTTGCATCCATTCATCTGTCTTGCATGCACTGGGCTCGGCGCATCATACTAACTGGGAAGGACTTTGGTACCCGGAGATGGCAAGTTAGGGCCCAATGGGAAGGACCATACAAAGTGGTTGGATTAGCAGGAAAAGGGACATACCACTTGGAAGATAAAGACAGCAAAGTCATTCCAAGGCCGTAGAACACTGCCAATCTCAAGTTATTTTATTTTTAGCTTTTCTTCCAAGTATTTGTAGTTTTTTCCTTTCTCAATAAAACAAGCAGTTTCTTTTCAGTATAGCTGTTTCCTCTGTAAAAGATTATTTTAGTGAGTTAGGAAAATTGAAAGCATAATTGGCCGGAATAACCAACTATGCATCCCTCCTAAGCCCAGGATAAGGATCTAGGCTGCAGGACGTTTGGCTGAAAAAACCAAACACTTTACTCTGGGTTGGCTGGAAAAACCAAACACTTTACTCTAGGTTGGCTGGAAAAACCAACTTAGAGGTTGGCTGGAATAACCAACACCCCTTCTAAGCCCAGGATAAGGATCTAGGCTGCAGGACGTTTGGCTGAAAAAACCAAACACTTTACTCTAGGTTGGCTGGAAAAACCAAACACTTTACTCTAGGTTGGCTGGAAAAACCAACTTAGAGGTTGGCTGGAATAACCAACACCCCTCCTAAGCCTAGGATAAGGATCCAGGCTGCAGGACGTTTGGTTGGAAAAACCAAACACTTTACTCCGGGTTGGCAGGAATAACCAACTTGGAGGTTGGCTGGAATAACCAACACCCCTCCTAAGCCCAGGATAAGGATCCAGGCTGCAGGACGTTTGGTCGAAATAAGCAAACACTTTACTCCGGGTAGGCAGGAATAACCAACTTAGAGGTTGGCTGGAATAACCAACACCCCTCCTAAGCCCGAGATAAGGATCCAGGCTACAGGACATTTGGTCGGAATTACCAAACACTTTACTCTGGGTTGGCAGGAATAACCAACTTAGAGGTTGGCTGGAATAACCAAAGACCCCTCCTAAGCCCAGGATAAGGATCCAGGTTGCAGGAAGTCTGGCAGGAAAAACAAAACACTTTACTCTAGGTTAGCAGGAATAACCAACTTAGAGGTTGGCTAGAAAAACCAACACTTAGTCCTCTTCAGCCGAGATAAGGATTCAGGCTGAAGAGTGGTTGGCTAGAAAAAACAACACTTTGTACTCTTCAACCGAGATAAGGATCTAGGCTGAAGAGTGGTTGGCTGGAAAAACCAACACTTATTGTTCTTCAGCCGAGATAAGAATCTAGGCTGAAGAGGTTGGCAACTATGGCTTGATAGATTAGAAAGCTATGACCGGGATAAAGTATCTCGGCCAGAGAATGTTCTACTTCATTCAGACTACAGTTGGAAAGCAAAGTATATGCATAGAAGTAAACCGAAATAACAGTTGGAACAAAAGAAATTTCATTGATCATGCAAAGTCAAAGTACAAAAAGGGGACTTCAGCCTGGTTACCATTTCTTGACCAAAAACAAAAAGAAGAAAAATACAAAGTCAGGCAAATAGGTCATCGAGATCAGCATCTAGTTCAACTCGGAGCCCGATTTCGGTCGGGAGCACGGTCTCGGTTGGAAGCACGGTTTCAGTGGGTTGCTCGTTAGTCAGGTCTTCCACCGTTGGCTCCGCCCGAGCTGACTGATCGACGGGATCATTGACGACCGGGGTATCGATGGGCACGGTTTCTTCTTCATCATCTGAAGCTTCAAGAAATTGTTGCTGAGTGGTAACAGCATACTCCGCCAGTGAGCTCAGTATAAAGTATTGAGGAGGATTGAAGACCTCGATCTCAGGCCCATGATCGAGCTGCACCACAGCACCCCTCCACCCGCACTTAAAGAAGAGGTCCTTTGTAGCTTCACACTGCTTAATGTACAGGACTTTACCTTCTTTAAAGCCACGGTCTTCCGCATCTTCCAGCTTCTTCTCAAGCTTGGTTATCTCGGTGTTCTTTTTTCCCTCGAGCTTAGTGAGCTCCCGCAGATACTTATCTTTTTACCACGGCTACAGCCTTTTGTTTGTCCGCCTCAGCCGAGCTAACAAGACCGGTCAGACGACTATTCTCGGTTCATAGGTCGACCAGCTGCTTCCTGGCCTCTTCTAGCTCGGCGGTTTTTTCAGTTACTTCGGCCATAGCCTGCCTTGTTGTTTTCCGAAGCTCCAACACTCGCTTATAAGCGATATGGTTCTTTTGTATGGCCTACAAAAGGATAGAGAGAAACTTTTTTAAGTACGACCGAGCAGAAAGTTGTAAGAATTTGAAAGATAAGCAAGTGAGCTACTTACCAGCACCATGGATTTCGTGGACGAGCGAAGGGCCTTCAGCTCGGTTAGGTGGTCATGGTGCTCCATGTCAGGTGGAAGGCAAACACTCTTGGCCAGATTGAATACTATTAGGTGGTCTTTCTCAACGACCACTGAGTCAGTATCCCATATAGCACGATTCTGAAAAGTGATTTTGGGAGCCCACTTGGAAGAGTTAGCTCGGTCAAAGCGCTCCGGTTGAGGGCTTGGTGGAGGGCTTGGTGGAGGAATGGTATCCTCTTCATCAATAAGGCGTGGCTCAGTTGTGGAAGTTCGAGCACGCTTGTTTGGACGAGATGAAGAGGGTTGATGGGTCGGTAAGGCCACCACGGTCTCTTGTGGTTGGCTTGCTGGGGGTACCTCGGCTTGGTTTGTTTCGGTTAAAAGGGCCCTCACAGCCCGTTTCTTGGCCATCTCTTGCTCAGCGGTTAGAGGGATCAATCTGATTTGGGGCAAGTTTGGGTCCGGTTCAGGAGAGGCTTTTAATAAGAAGTCAGTTACCTTGGTCTTCCATTTACCACTATATCAGTAGGTTGGCTGAAAGTCCAATAGCTCGGTCCAACTTCGGTTTGGATATCGCAGGGCAGCGCGAAGTATATTCAAGTTGGGGTAACTGTATTGGGACTTGAGGAAGTTCAAATCTGCATAAAAGAAGACAACAGTTAGCGCGGTTTAAGATGAGAAGACCGGAGTAAAGAAAGGCATAGTATGAAGCCGAGGTAACTTTACCGGTTACACTCTTGTTCCAATTTATTCTGTCACCAGGGATCTGGGCCTGTTGGTCCTCAAAATTTCCAGATACCCAGAGGAAGTCATCATCATTTACGTCTTTATCCGGGATATTCTTTATTATTTTTTCACGCCGTCGTCTTATTCTTAAATAATAGACCCATCCATCTTCAGCAGAGCTTCTAGAATATTGGTGGAAGAGCTCGGCTAGACCGAGGTTAAGGCCAGCCCGGCGGTTTAACTCGGCAATGCCATTTATTATACGGTAAGAGTTGGTGGAAAGTTGGGTCGGACAAAGGTTGGTCTGCCTAAGGAATTCGCAGAGAAGAGGTTGTACAGGAAATCTTAGTCTGGTTTCTACTATGGACAGAAGGGTAAATGGAACAAAGCCTGGGTTTCCCCAAGGTGTGGTATTTAGTGCGGCTAAGGAGAAGTGTACATCATCAGGTATATTGTAATCCTTTCGGAATTCGGCTATGGCCCCTAGTGAGCTCACTAAGAACCTATACTTTCCCATTCGTGATTTAAAGTTATTAATAAATTAAACTGGAGTGTTAGCTCGGTTGAAAAGTAATGCTGAGTAGCTCGATCGAGCGCTCAAAGGAGTGCCTGGACAGCCTAAGTCTGCAAAGTGAAAAACAAAGGGGTTAAGCACAGATCAATTGGACCGTGCTAAAAGAAACAAAGGCAAGATAATTAAAGACCAAGCGCGGCTATGTGAAATGCTGCGGATCTTAGCTCGGTTTGAGCAGGCGGTTTTTAGCCCGGTTGAGCTTCTAGGGGCAGCGTTCTTAGTTCGGTCCAAACTAAAAGGGCCGGTTTAGCCCCAAGCTATAACTCGGTCATGGTTGAGGCTTTCAAGCGTGCTACTGCGCAGACTTAGTACGGTTCGATAGCTCGGCTATTTGAATCAAAAGGGGGTTTTACTTGTTGAAACTACTGGTATAGCATGAAGTGTTAGTTCAGTTGGTTAGTCTGGCTAGATTGACGTTAACTACAAACAACTTTTTAGTTCGGCTACATTATGATTTTGGATCAAATGCAGCGTTCTACAGACTGTTTCGTGAAATACAAGTGGTTCTTATAAAGTTTTTTCCCAGAAAACGCAAGGCGAAGCAAAAAATGGAAATAATGTGTTTTGCAAAAACACATAGTAAATATGCTATGGATTAAACAAAGGCGAAAACAACAAAAATAGAATGGATCTGTGTAGCTTACCAGGACGTGAGGAGGGAATTGGAAAATAGAAATGGCACTAGAAGGAGGCACGAAGTTTTTTTCAGTTGCATATCCAAGAACAGTGAAAGTTCTTAAACAAGAGAGAGAGAGAGAGATGAATAGTGAAGTGAGTGATTCAAAACAAGGGTTTGTTTTGTGTAGAAGGAAGGACAAAAAGAGCGGGACTGTTCAAAATTCACGAGATACGAAGACGGCGTGACTGCTGCATTGGGCCAATCAGAGTGTGCCACGTGTCCTTGGAATGAGAAGCGATTCAGTTGCTGGGATTGAAGAGACGTTTTTGACCGGACAGTTCTGTGGCTTGGTTGGAAAACTAAAGTTTTTTAGCTCAGTTGGAAGGCTAAAAATTTTTAGCTCGGCTGGTAACAAGTAATCCCTATCATGCTGTGCAGATGGAATTAAGGGGCAATTGAGAGGGTAATTTATATATATAAATTGGACCGAGCTCGGTAATGGGCCGCTGTCGGCCACAGTAAGAAGGGCGGAGTAAAAGGGTCTTGGCGTTAGCCCGGTCCAAGGGAGTCTTGGAGTTAGCCCGGTCCTAGAAAGCGTTATTGTTATCCCGGTCCAGGAGAGATTTGTGAATAGCCCGGTCGCCACACTCAGAGTTAGCCCGGTCGTGGCATAATGCAGTTAGCTCGGTCAGACCTAGCCATTCGTTTGCACGGCCTAAGCACACTATGGTTAGTATTGTTTGTACAGAAGAAACCAAGGTACACACAATGAAAGGAAGAACCGAACCAGGTAGAGCTTGGTCTATTCTGCAGCTTTAGCATGGCCATGTTATCCCGGTCGTATTGATATCCGACCTAGGTAAAACCATCTCACTTGGTTTAAGCAGTGAGGGGGGTGTTGAAGGATAAGCATTATCTTTCAGAAATGTGATTCTTAGGAGGACTCTACATGGAGGAGTAAAAGTCCCACTAGGATTGTGCCACGCGGAACCTATAAAAGCTCACAACATCACCTATGGAGAGGTAACACAACTTTGATTCCCGAATACACAGAGCTTTTGTTTATTTGTCTGTTTTGCTGACTTAGACATCGGAGAGGTATCCGGTACACACCCGCCGGCTAGCTCACGTTTGTGTTTTCAGAGAGTAAAGCGACGACGTTTGGAGGAGCGCGCACTTGATCAATAGGATTATACGAGAATGTTTATTTCTTTCCTGTACATATTCATACATATTGATTGTTTGAATAATATAATAAATAATATATATATATATATGCTCTTAATATTGATAGGAAACATAGTTGCTCAGTGGTTAGGCGCTATACCTCTAAGGCTTGGCCTACGTCAAAACGACGCCGTTTTTATTGCACATCTCCAAATCCTTTTCGGAATCTATTTCTAAAAAATATTCAAAAATTAGTTTAGTAAATAAAAATAAAAGCTCAATTATTTTCTTATAATTTTCTCTTTTTTCAGGAAAAAAAATTAAAATATTTTTTTATTTATCAAAATAAATTCTATTTTTTTTGGGTAAGTAAGTAAATAAATTCTATTGTTCATTAAAAATCAAAAAATTAGTTGTGTTCACAAATTGATCAATGCACATATCATAATATTTTAGTAGTTCAAGGGAAATGAATCGATAGGTGTCATGGTGCAGTGGTATTCATAGTATTAAACGATACATATCAATTAGTTGTGAAGAAAAAAACTTCATAGCTGGAAATCAGCTCATATACTCTAACTTGGGTCATGAATGAGTTATAATCACAAACCGATCAATATAGATGCAATTTTTATTCACACTAGTATACTAGAGTGTTTTAGTATTGAAAGGCCAAAAAAACCAAAACGTATCGGCCAATATGATGTACATCAGTTGATATTTAAAATGATGCTCGCAGTTAGAGCTTGCTTTATGTTAAAGACACTTTTAGCCCTCATTTTGAAAGAGGTCCAAATTACCTAACCAAAACCCATAATGCAATTCTATATAGTTTTCTTTAAAAATCCTATTTTGAATAGAAGGGAACAGCTGCTTTCCAGTCAGGAAACGAACTAAATGATACTGTTGGGCTTCGGTAAGCCCAACTCCGAACCCATCTCAATGATCCAAAAAGCCTCCATAAACATAGTATAGGCTCCACATATTTGGAGAAAGGCTCCCCTGGTTTGATATATGTATATGTTTGTTAAAAATATCCGTTCTACTTTTCATTTCATAGAACAAGTAAAATTTTAGTGACAAAAATCAAATGAGAAATCTAAGTTTTGCATAAAAAATAATAATGTATTTCCACAGTTTTTTATGCCATTCTCATTAATTCTAAGCGGACAGACTGGTTTCAGCCTCAGTGTTGGTTACGTCAGGGTAATCCATTATCTCCTTTATTACTTTTTATAGTAGTTCAGGCTCTTTCATCCAGCTTTGAACATTTGGAGTCTCAAGGGGTCTGTCGGGGCATTTCAGTTAGTAGGCGTGGGCTAAAGACCTCTCATCTGTTGTTTGTGGATGATTGTATTGTAAGAATAAATGTATAGAGAAAGAAAGAGAGAAACAATTATGTATATATTGATTTTATTGATATATGATTGTTATATTGTATGTACATTATATAGGAGATGTGGGTGGAGAGTGGAGTAGGTGTAGGTGTAGTGGAGTAGGTGGAGTAGGTGGGTTTACATTAACAGCCCCTCTCAAACTCAAGGAGGATAGGAACTAACCAACTTGAGGTTGAAGAAAGTAACAAAACAGGAAAGTAAACTGATAAATAAAATAAAACAGGATAGAAGACACGGTATGGTTGTGTCAAATCGTTGTTGAAGACACGGTATGGTCGTGTCGGACCGTTGTAGCAGGACAGTTTACGAGGTCATGCCGGACCGATGTAGCTGACACTGTGTGGTCGTGTCAGACCGTTGTTGTAGAAGCGAACCAGAATAAATGTCGGGACAGTTTACGGGGTCATGTCGGACCGTTGTAGTAGAAGCTGACGGAATCAATGTCGGGACAGTTTATGGGTCATGTCGGACCGTTGTAGAAGCTTTGTGGTGGTGCACACAGGGGGCGACTTAGGGAGTGCGCCATGGGGGTGGGGCTTTAGGTGGTTCCGCATAGTGTGTAACCATGGCTCACCATGATATATGTAATAACCCCCCCATCAACTCAAATAGGTGTGAAGATAGAAAACTATTTTGAGGTTGAAATAAAGTTGAGTGATAAGGGGATCAAGAACAGTTTATGGGTCAATGTCGGATCGATGTAGCAGACATGTGTGGTTCGTGTCAGACCGTTGTAGGGAGCCATGGTGTTTTATGACAGTTTACGGGTCATGCCGACGCGATGTAAAAGACACTGTGTGGTCGTGTCAGACGGCGTGGGAGTCCCAAAAAGATAGAGATATATAGATTAATATATTATTCGCACCTCAAAGTCGTGCCAATCTAAATCAAAAGGTGTGGCTCTCAAAAAGGCGTGCCCACTCAGTGTGGCCGGACATGATGGCCGAGGTGCGTGACTAACCTTGGCTTGCGCACCGTTTGTCGTTTGGCACGCCTTTTGATGGCACACTTTTGATAGATTGGGCACGACTTTTGAGGTGCGATATATATATATCTATATATCTCTATCTTTTTGGGCTTCCCACGGTCTGACACGACACACAGTGTCTTTTACATCGTCCGGCATGACCCGTAACTGTCATAACATTGGCTCCTACAACGGTCTGACACGACCACACAGTGTCTGCTAACTCGATCCGACATGACCCCATAAAACGTCTTGATCCCCTTTATCACTCACTTTAATTTCAACCTCAATAGTTTTCTATCTTCACACCTATTTGAGTTTGAGGGGGGGTTATACATATATCATGGTGAGCATGGTTACACACCATGGGAACCACCTAAGCCACCCCATGGCGCACTCCTAAGTCCGCCCCTTGGTGCACCACACCACAAGCTTCTACAACGGTCCGACATGACCCCATAAACTGTCCCGACATTGATTCCGGTCAGCTTCTACACGGTCCGACATGACCCCGTAAACTGTCCGACATTTATTCTGGTTCGCTTCTACAACACGGTCTGACACGACCAACCAGTGTCAGCTACATCAGGTCGGCATGACCTCGTAACTGTCCTGCTACAAACGGTCCGACACGACCATACCGTGTCTTCAACAACGATTTGACACAACCATACAGTGTCTTCTATCCTGTTTTATTTTATTTATCAGTTTACTTTCTTGTTT